ACACACACACACACACACACACACACACACACACACACACACACACACACACACACACCCAGGCTCCTCATAAGGCGCAAAGGGGAACAGGCATTGCAGCTCCCAGGGTCACCCTCCCCCGACTCCTGATTTTTGCTTTAACAGAAAATTACCTGAGTAATGATCTCAATACTTTCCTTTAAGCCTGCGTTGAGTGGAAGGCTTTGCTTGGTCTTGTCCTATGCAACCATATTTGAAATCACAGAGCTGATGAGCTGGTTACGCTTTTTTGGATATATACGTTCATGATTCTTCAAATAAAAATGTCCCCATCGCCCTGGCCGGTATGGCTCAGTTGGTTAGACGTCTTCCTGTGCACTGAAAGGTTGCTGGTTCGATTCTCAGTCAGGACACATGCCCCATGGTGGGCTCAATTCCCGGTGAGAAATCCAGATCAACATAAGGGCTTAACAGGCCCCTAAGTGCTCTGTAAATCCCAGTTGTGCTTTAGGGTTTGAGCCCTCCTTTTAGAGGTGAATAAGCTGAGGCTCAGAGGGAAATGACTTGCCCAAGGTCACCCAGCTTGAAGTGGTAGAGACTGGCTGGAGCCATGGTTGGGCTAGTGCCAGAGTCCAGAGTGCATCCCCCCTTCACCCAGAAGGCCCCCCAACCATTGTGCCTTCTCCCACTGTCTCATAGGATCTCTGTGAGCCGCTGGAGAAACAACACGAGGAGGAAAGGAAGAAGGGAGAGAGACCCAAGGCAGACACGGTATAGGATTAGGGCCTCAGGGACTTTGGGGGCCTATTCTGAGGCCCCACCCACATTTGTACCCCAGTTCTTCCCCTCAGTTGCATCAATAAAGCTTCTGCATTTGGAACAGGCAGGCTGTCGTTTGCTCATTCATTCATTCATGCATTCATTCGTGTTGAAGCCTGCCCTGAGTTGAGCCCTGGTTGACCACTGGATAAGCCCCTGCCCCTGGTTGCAAAAGCCCCTGCTGTGACACCTAGCACACGCGCCAGATGGCGGTGCCACGTGGAGTGGTGTGGGAGCCCAGCACGAGACGGTCCCTTCTGCAGTGGGGATGTCTGGGAAGGCTTCCTGGAAGGGGCATCTGAACCAGCCTAGAAAGATTAAGAGCTTGATAACACCTGCTGTTCCTGCTGAGCCAAGGATCTCAGAGGACACATTTGAGGAACATAAGGCAGAGGACCCAAAGTAGTTCAGGTGGATGGGGGGCAGTGAGCACTCAGACATGAGGTGCCAGGTATGAAGGACCTTATGGCAAACATCGCCCTGGCCATCTGGGGAGGTGAGTTGGGAGCGGCCAGACTGGAGGCAGAAAGGCTGGCTTGGAGGCTGCTGTGGGTATCCCGGCGAGAGGAAAATTTCATGAGTGGCCTAAGATGTCTGGAGCGAAAGGACCACAGCCCTGGCACCTCATGCCCAGTTCTGTGACTTACACATCACTCTCCAAAGAGCCAGCATCCAGGGACCCAAGACTCCAGCATCCATTCTTCGCTCAAAGCTGGAGCCGCTGCTGTGCCCAGAGCACTGAGGCTGCAGACATTGACCTGAGCCCCCACCTTGGGCTCCCCCCTTCCCATGGTTCTGATATCCATGGGACAGCCTCTTGGCACCCAGAAGGGTGTGGGCCTGGAGGCTCAGAACCTACAAGAAATCTCTCCATCTCAGTGTTAGTTTCAACAGGATGACATTTTCAACTCTACTGAGAAGGAGCAGCTAAAAAATGAAATAGAAATGGGTCCTGGTCACAAGAGAGAAGCAAGTGGGATGAGAGAGGTGGGGAAGATTAACGAAGCAGCCATGGGAACAGCCGGGGGGTGGGGGGAGTCATGGCAATTTAGGAAGAGAAAATCAGTAACAGAGAATATAAACTTTGGAGTCAGACCATCGTGATTTTGGGCAGGTAACCTAGTCTCCTCGTCAGTCAAGTGGGGGCACAGTGGGAACCTAGAGGACTGGTGTGTGCACTGTGGAGCATGCTGTGCTGAGTACTTAGCACAAGGATTGGCGTCTAGTAGGTGCTCAGTAAAGGGCAGCTATTGTTGCTGTTTGCTACTAAAAGGAGCACTGAAAAGAGAGTCCAGTCTCATGTTTTGCAGACACCTCTCGTGCAGGTCCCTTTGATCGAGAGAACTATGGTTCTGAGATGGGCAGAGGGAAAGTTGGAGAAGCAGAGGGAGGCAGGAAATATGCACCCAAAAGGTCCCTTGGGAGGGCTCTGTGCCAACCTTCTACCCCAGCAAACTGTCTTTAGAAACCAAGTCAATGACACACACCACAAATATAGGCAACTTTCGGAATGTTTTGGGGTGTGTGGTTTTTTTTGCGTTTTCTTTTAATATCAGTATTCATTTGCGCTCATAACGAAAATAGAATTTTTAAATGCCTCAAATATACAAATATCACTGATGCACACACATTCCAGAAAAGCTGAGGTACGCGCTGCTACAGGGTGGGGGAGCAGGAGACAGCCAGGCTGCAGGGCCACAGACTGGGGCCTGGCAGGCAGCTGGCCACTAGCTGAATTCCACAGGGACTCCCAGGAGAGAGCGGGGGTCTCGAGATGAGGTACTGAGAAGGGCCATGGCGGACGGCTCCCTGGGGTGTCTCCATCCCAGCAGGCCCCTGCGAAAGGCTGCTCCAACCACAGAGAAGCCAGGCGTGTGTCATCCTGGGGGCCGGCATCCTAAGACATCCCAATGGTCCCAAAGTGTCCCACCATCAGCCACCAGGGGAAAGGTCCCCAGCCACATCTTTCCAGAGATGCCTACTCCCAAGTGGCTGGTCACACGCAGGTGGACAGGTTTGGGCCAGAGCCCCTGGCCCCATCCCTTCTTATCTGGCTTCCTAAGGAGGAACCAAGCCCAGGAAAACTCCTCAGTTTATCAACGATCTGTCCATCCATATATAGAATACATATTATTAGCTGGAGGTGGACAAGTGCAGGAGGCTCCCAGAGATTGCATGGGGACAGAAGGTGGCCTTGGTCCCAGCGCCTCCTTCAGGGGCTGGTGCCCTGGGAAGTTACTTCTCTTGGTGACCAGGGCCCTTCCGTTTTGAAAACACCGAGGCTGAGCAGGCAGGGCCTGCGCTGGAGGGAGAGCTCCTCATGAGGGGTCTGTGGGGCCTTGAGGGGAGACAGCAGCAGGCTGCCTGCCCACCTGTCCGCCATCTGTCTCTGAGCCCCCGGTACCGTCAGAAGAGGCAGGAGCCCCGCAGGCTGTGGCCCTGGCGCAGTTCGGCCGACAGGGAGCGGCTCATGTGCTTGGTGGTGGAGTGGACACTCTGGGCCGCCTGGACGGCTCGGCTCAGGGCCTTGTTGAGCTCCTCCAGGTCCTCCAGATCCAGCTGGATGGAGTGCCGGTGTCCTCCTGGCCGGGAGGAGGCTGCGGGGGGCCACTCAGCAGCTGGTCGGGCTGAGGGGGCTGAGGTAGGTCCACCTGGAGGCGTGTAGAACCTGAGCAAAGAGGCAAGTGTGTTGTTAACTGCGAGAGGGCCGGGTGCAGCCGAGAGCGCTGGGTTTGGAACCAACCCCATTCTGTGCCCCAGCTGGGCCACTGGCCCCTACCTACTCTCTGGGTCTCAGTTTCTTCACGTCTAAAATGGGAACAATAAACACCTGCTTCAAGGGATGTGTTGGAATGATGAAGGGAGATCAACGGAGTGCCTAACCTAGAACAGGTGCTCAGAAATGGTTGGTTCAATCTACCCATTCATTCCACAAATATTTAGTGACCATATGCTGTGCCCCAGCCAGTGTGCTAGGCCCTGGGGTTATAATGGTGAATGAACAACACAGACTCTGCTGCCTTCTTGGAGCTTCTAATCTGAGAGCCAGATGTGGGGGAGACTAGGATCACCCTAGGCTCTGTAGCAAGCCCCCTTCTTGGGAGGGGCAATATAGGGCAGTACAGTTCGCTGGAGAAACGTGATCATGATAATTCGGATCTGCCGAAGTGGGAGGGTCTGGTTTTACTCATCGGGGCAGCAGTGGAAAGGTGTCCTTCCAGTCTGGTCCTGCAGGAACGTGGGGTGTTGAATGACGCAGAGCTAATTAGCGCCAGTGGATGCGGACACATATCACCCGAACCCAATGAGCAATAAACGAGCTTCTTGGACCCTATCTGAGTCCAAGATAGTTCAGGAACTATCTGAGGTAATTACTGGGTTCCCACACACCCCTATCTTCTGATAATTTGATGACCAGCTTGACCTGAGTGTTACCCAAAACTTCGCCCAGGGCAGCAGGTACAAAAAAACCAAAGTCCAACCAACCCTCCTGGCTAGAAAGCCTCTGGTGCGGAGGCTAAAAGGCAGCGGCCAACAGGTGGCAGCACAGGCCCATTCATTTTTCTAAAGGGCGCACAGGCCTCGGCCTCTGCACGCTCGGCCCTGCAGCTGGAGAACCTTGAGGGCGTCATCAGCCCAGCTTCCAGCAGCATTAGAAGCACTATGGTTAATGGCCACCCTCTGTGTAGCACGGACCGTGCATACATTTATGGGTTCAATCCTCACCACAATCCATTTCACAAAGGAACAAAGTAACCTGCCCAAGATCACATGGCTCCTGCTGGCCAGGTCTGCCCGGCACTAAAGCCCAGGGCCTTCCTCCTCCCCCGTGGCCCATCCAAGCCTTGGACAGCACGCTAGTTAGTTCTGTCCACAGGTCTGAGCCTGGAATGGCCACAGAAATAGAGACCCCGTGGTTACAGTGGGCACGCAGAGTTTCTGCTCGGCCACCAAAGTCCAGGTGAAACCTTTCCTGTCCGGTGAGTAGCAGCACAGGCAGGTGTCTCCACCACCTCTGCCGGAGGCCTGAGCATGCAGCACGGCCTCTCCTAGATGCCGGAGGGGAAGGTTCCTCGACGACTTGCCCAGACTCAGCTGAGATGGCAGCAAGACACTGCACTGTAGGCCAGAGCCTCGCAGTGGACTGGGGCTCGATGGTGCCTTGCGCCTCCCTTCCCACCAGGTGCCAGCCCTGGCGAGGACTCTGGCCCCTCACTGCGCACAGACACAGGCTTCTGACGACAAGCCATTGAGGAAGGGTCCCAACTGACTCATTTTACAGTGGGGGAAACTGAGGCACAGAGCTAGGTGATGGTGGTTGGGACAAAAAGACAAGTTTTCTTAATTCCAGGCTCCAGACTTTTCCCTCTGAACAATCCTATCATATTAAAGCCACCTTTACTCACTTTTCTAAAGACATAATTCTATTTGCTGTGATGAAAAGCTGCCGCCTATTCGGCAATGAGTCCAAGCCAGCACCACACTGAAACCTCCGTGGACATCCCATGTGGTTCTTGCCACGTGCCTCGTTTAACCCTCACACAACTGGACATGATCAAGACCATTGCCCCATTTGACAGATGGGAAAATTGAGGATCTGAGAGGAAGTAGCTTTACCAAGGCCACAGCACTAGTAAGTGGCACCCAGGTTCTCAGCCGCCTAACACAGGTCCGAGTAATAGTTATTAAGCAATTCAGACAGAGAGGCTGGGAGGGTGGGAAGGGAAGGTTCTTACACAGTGGCTGACGGGTAAGGCATGACTGGAACCGAGGAGACGTAGGCAAAGGCAGGCGGGGCTGGTACTGGAGGCGCAGCAGCCAGATACCACAGTCCAGGGGGCGGCTGGGCCGATGACCCCACCCGTTTGCTCTTCTGCTTGGGGCTAGAAGTTGAAGGTGCTTTTCTCCTTATGGTGGCCTTTTCTGCCCCTGTAATGGGAGGACATCAGAGACAAAGTCTGACCACTTGGGAAGATCCACCAGAGAACAGGGGGCCTGCCCAGGCCCTGCCCTGTTAGAGCTGGACACTGTGCTGGCGGAGTGCCTGGATTTGAGAAGCAAACCCTCTCCCCAGTGTGCTCCAACCCAGAGTGGGGGGTAGTAGCCACCCTGCTCACCCGAGCCAGGCCCCAAACCCCCATTAAGGAGACCTATGGGAAGAGCCTGAGCATCTGGCCCTACCAGAGGTGGCTGGGTCTGGGCCATCCTGTTGTGGGGGGGACCCAACTCGACCACACAGGGGACATCGCAGGGCATCAGTGGGAGATGGCCCCAGTGGGTCCTTGGTGACATCACCACCTAGAAGGAGAGAAAGAGACGTCAGAAGAGGACTATGTCTTAATCATCAGGCCTGGAGCCTCCCCAGCAGGCCTCCTGAAGGGCTGGGCTTCCCTCAGGCACCGTGCAGAGGAGACAAAGTGCCTCCCTCTGGGTGACAACAATACCGATGGCAACCATGACAGTGAGGTCCACATAGAATGAGCCAGACCCTCTGCTCAGGGCCTTCCTGCATTATCTTATCAAGTCTAACAAGCCACTGGGCTGCCTGCTATCATCACTCCCCCACTTTACAGGTGGGAAAGCTAAGGCTCCAAGAGGTTGGATAATTTGCCAAGGTCTCAGGGCTGGGAAGCGGTGGTCTTCTGTCTGATCCCAAGCCCAGCTCTCCTGACTGCAGCCAGTACCTACGGTCCTTCCTCCACAGCGACACAGGCCTGTTCTCCATGTGGGAGTGGCCCACAATGGTCCCGGGCACGAGAGGGGTCAGTGGAGGCCTACACTTGCCCAATTAGCAGGAGGAGAGTGGGCCACCAGGTTCTCTCCCACCCAAATCCTCAATGCCCCCTCTCAGTCAGTTCCAGGGCCAGTGCACTTGTCCTTCAGGCCATTGCTCCCTCTGGGAAACCCTCCACCCACCAGGCTAAGTGCTCCCAGCCACCCTGTGATCCCTGATCCCAGCTCGGACCACACCATTGTCATTGTCTGCTCAGCTGAGCGTTCCTTGGGGACAGGGCTCAGGGCCCAGTACGGGAAAGTGGTGAGTGAATGAATGAATGAATGAATGGAGAGGGCTAATGGAACTCCAGCAAAGACAGAGGGACATAGTGGAGTGCCAGGGCTCTGCAGTCACAGAGACCTGGGTTCAAATCCTGCCTCTACCACCTGTAAGCTATATGTCCTTGGGCAGGTTACTTGACCTCTCTGAGCCTAGCTTCGTCACTCATAAAATGGCCATAATAATAAAATGGTGAAAACCTACTTCATAGAATTGTGAGGACTAACGTTTATAAAATCCTTAGCATGACGCCCTGTATACAGCAGGGGCTTAATAAATGACAGCTCCATCATCATCATCGTTGCCCCAGAGACCATCTCCAACCCTTTCATTATGGATGTGGAACCTGAGACTCAGAGAAGTGAAGGAGCTTGCCTAAGGTCACGCAGCAAGTCAGTGGTAGAACTGGAACTAGAACCCACTGTCCATATTCTCAGACCACTGCTCTCCCCACTACTCCCCTCCCCCGCTGGGCTTGGGGGAAAGAACGAGGAGTGGAGGGAAGGTGGAGGGAGAGAAGATGGAATCACTGCTGCCAGTGCCCCCGCTGCCTGGCACCCTCCTCGTAGGACCCTTCTGGAACTTCTGAAATCATGTCCATGGTTTCTCCATGTCAAGGTCAAGGAGCTGCAGCACCTGTTCCCGTGTCTGTACCTTTGACCTGCCTCCAAGCTCAGGGCAGGCCCACGTCTGACCCAACTCTACCCTCCCCGGAGAGAAGCTGCAGCCTCGCTGCCCTGGCTGCTCCCATCCCTTACCTGCATCCTGGGTCCTAACAGGCTGGCAGTGGGGACAGGAGACCGTGCTACTGCCTCTTGGGACAATCTTGGGGGTCACAACATGGTACTCCTGGCCTGGGGGTGAACACAGAAGTCAGCGTCCGCTCTCTACATGGCTGCAGAATCGAGGGGATTTAGTGTAACGACCTCTCTCCTCTCCCTGCAAATGGTTTTGATAGTCTCTCTCTCCTTTCTCTATTGTGCGCGCAGACATGCGTGATATATGTGCATAAATACACATATGTAAACATGTGTGTGTGTACATAGACACACGTACATATTCACGTTGGTCTTTCTGTTTATGGTGAGCTCTTGCAGACTCCTGTTTCATCTCAGATCCTACTTAGGTACCACCTGCTTAGTTCTCAACATACAGGAGCAGTCAACAAGCCCAGGCTGTTAGGAGTTGAAAGCGAGCCAGGAAGACATGATAAGCAGTGACCAAGGGCGCTACCACTCTCCCCAGACCTGGGTGCCTGGTTGGGATGGGCATGGCTTGCGTATGGAGGTCATACAGCTCGGGGAATGGGGGTATCTCATCCAAGACCCCCCGTAGTACTAACAGCTTGTGAGTGGCTTCTTGGGAGGACTGAATGGGGCCCTGTCCATGAGGCAGGCTGCTCAGCGCCTGGCAGATATAAAGCGCTTGACATTATAAAGTTGGTCAGCCTCTCAGATCCTCACCTGTCCCCTGCCTCATCCATCCCTGATCGAATAAGACCTTCTGAATAGTTCTCTTACTGATAGTTCTCTCCTCTGCCATGCAGGGTTCCCGCTTTATACTCTGCGTGTGGCACTGGGGTCCCCAGGCTCACTGTTGCTCTCACTTCTAACTCCTTGGCTTCTGTCCACTCCACTGGGGCAGGATACGTGTCTCTCATTTCTCGCCTTATCCCCAGCGCCCAGCCGTATGGATCTAAAGTTTGCCACACTCCCTCCAGTGAGGGGTGGCTGAGAGCCATCTGCCATTTACTTACTTACCATAAATGCTCATTTATAATGCTTGCTATAAATGCTTATTTATTATTGTCTCTCGGCTAGGCAGTCGGATTCATGAAAGCAGGAGCCCTATCCATATCTGTTTTAATGTTAAGCACTTTGAAGTCCTACTACGTGTCATCTCAAGCTTTACCAGGTGCCCGGTGCCTAGTTCATAAGATGAGGGCCCCCAGGGAATCAGACCTGAAGGTCGGCCAGGAGAAAATGACTTAGTGTTCACCAGTAGCCCAGGTCCTGCAAACAGCAGGCACTTCATAAACCTCTTCACGACTAGCCAGCAGAATGGGCTTCCCCAGGACGAAGCACGGGCCCCGGCTAAGGGGGGCATCAAAAACTATTTGCTGAACGAACAAATGCACAAATGCACTGAGATTCAGAGGCAATGCTCCCTGGTGAACTCATAGAAATGATAATATCTGAATGGCTAAGTGGACAAGGCTTCTCAGGACAGAGCAGACCACCCTGGGGGCCATGCCCGCCCCAGCCCTCCCTTTGGGCCCACCTGTATACTGGCCCCGGAAGGTGACCCTGTCTGGCCGTCTGGTGCTGCGCATTTCTCTCACTTTGTCCCGAGTGGCCTGTGGGCTGTCCTTGGTGGTACTGCCCTTCTCAGAGAACAGCCGGGGGGAGGTTGGCTCAGATTCAGAACCTAGGGTGGAAAGAGAGGGGCATCAGAGCAGGCAGGCAGTGGGGGTCATGCAGCTCAGGGAGTGGGCGTATCTAATCCCAGATGCACCCCACAGTAATAACAGCTGACACATCCTCTGTGTTCAGCCCTGGTCTAGACACCGCATTCACCTCGTCCTGCACCCCCACGGCAATCCCAGCAGGCAGATGCTATCTTTCCTGCACTGCTAGCCGTCCCTTTAACTGCACGGGTCAGGTAAACAACCTGGCCAGGTCACATGGCCAGGAAGGAGTGAGCTGGGGCTGACCCTCGCCACTGATTCGAGCCGTGTTACTTTAGGCAAGTCCCCTGCACTTCTGAGCTTAGGTGTCCTTACCTGCAGGTGATACAGTGTACACATGTGTGCAAAGCCCTCACAAATGCATAGCTTTATTGGACGTGTATTGCGCTTCAGAGCACAGCTGCCTGAAGCAGATACACAGAAGTCTTCTCCAAGCTTCGTCTAAGCCTGTTGCTGTGGTTGGGCCCTGACCACTGAACCAACACGACCAGACTGGGGCCCCCAGCAATCAGTCCGAGCAGGTGGTCACTCACTCAAGGACAGTCGGGGCACCTCCCGAGGCACTGAGGAAGACCTGGCTCGCCGCCTTCCTGTTGGGACAGCTTGCTCTGCACCTCCAGGCTCACTGGACAATCTCTCTGTGGATTTACTAGCAAAAGAGAGAGAGAGCTGAAGTAAGGTTTTATGCAGCTTTGAAAGATGATCGGTGAAAAGGCCAACCCAGAGAAATACTTATAATGGGAGGAGGAGAGCACGGAAGTCCAAACTAAAGACCCTAGAGACAGAATCACAGAAAACGGCTCTGGGCCTCTCTGACCCTCAGTTTCCTCATCTGTCAAGTGGGGATAATAACAGTAATTACCTCAGAGGGCTGTTGGAAGGATTAGTGAGACAATGTCCATAAAACCCTTAACCTCGTGCCCGCCCAGAGAACCATTCAGTCAGCCGATTTCATGTTCTCATCATGAATGAATGTCCACTGAGGGAGGGAGGAGAGGGTGAGGGTCCTGATAATATTCTAGCTCCCCAGTTGGTGTGAGTTCAGGGATATTCATTATATCAGACTTTATTATTATTATTATTTTATTGTTGTTGTTAATCCTCAGCTGAGGATGTTTTTTCCATTGATTTTTAGAGTAGAAGGGAGGGAGGGAGGGGAGAGAGAGAGAAACATCAACATGAGAGAGACACATCGATTAGTTGCCTCCTGCATACTCCTCGACTGGGCCGGAGATCGAACCTGCAACCCAGGTACATGCCCTTGATCGGAAATCAAACCTGAGACTCTTTGGTACACAAGCTATCTACTGAGCCACACCGGCCAGGGCCAGGCTTTATTATTAGCATACACGTATACTATATTTTTATGCATCAAATATTACACAGTAAAAAAAGTAAGAGTGAATGAATGATTGGGTGAACGAGAGAGGGGTGTGGCTGTGCCTGTGTCCACATATCTGGGGAGAGCCAGGGGCCGACCACGTCTACCTTCTGAGGCTGCCACCAGGGCACAAGGGTGGGAGTTTTGGGGTCACCCACCTGCCATAGTGGGAGCCCCAGGCGGCTGGGGAATCTGTTGGTCGGTCCCGGTCCCGGGCCCGGGCAGGGCGGTCGAAGTTGGACGCTGGTCGCGTGGGGCTGCCCTGGGGCAGCTGGTGCAGGCTGTCCTCTAGCCGGAGCCGGAGCCGGGACACCTCCTCTTGCAGCTCCCGGATGGCCTGGCTGGGGTGGGGGGAGACGGCAACAAAGGACAGATGCACATGAGCGGAGCTGCGGCCGCCCCCAGGGTGCTACCCAATGGAGCAGCCTTTGTCCCCTCCTAGGAGACACAGGGTCCAGCTCTGCTGTTACTTGATTCTAGAACTTCCCTGGGTGTCCACCTTTCTTGCTAAGCACCCTGAACCTCTCTGAGTTCATGTCCTGCACATTCAGTGAGGTGAACAAAGCAGGAATTTCTTTGAGGTTCACCTGTCCAAACACGCAGGGACTCTGAGCTGCTGCTCTGAACCACCGGTGACCAACTCTCAAGATAGAGAGGAGGCTGCAGAGTACAGAGGTCACTGGCTAAAGCTTCCCTTTAAAATCTGACTTCCGACCTGCCTCGGCCCCTGGGCTGCCCTCCCTCTTCCTGCCTCTATCTGTAGAAATCCTAACTATCCATCCAGCCCTGGGCCCTTCCCGCCCTGACTCAGCCCCTCCCTCCTGGGTCCCCCCAGTGCTTCCTATGTTGTTCCAGCCCATTTCTCGGCTGCTGGCAGAAGTTGCTTGTCTATCTGCCTCCCCAGCTAGATAGTGAGCTATGGGCAGGTAAGGAGCAGGCCTCCCCGTCTCACAAGCCCGAGACCCTTACGCCTCACAGATGCTCTGGGAACGTTACTGAACGGACTCCAGGCTATAGCGGGAGCAGAGTAAAGGGTTGCTGGAATTGCTGTGAACCCCAAACAGAGCAACCTCTTATTGGAAGGAATCTCAATGAGCCGCTAGCATCTAGGGAGTAAATACTATTTACATGTCTCTCCGGCCAGTCCCTGAATCTCCAGTCTCATTCTCAGGGCGTCGCTGGCATTGTGGCAGACAATCCCACCCAGACACTCCCACACACAAGCCCCTTCCCACCCCAGCCCCAATGGTTTGGCATGACCATCCTCCGGGCGGAGGAGGGCTCTCCATCAATTGCTTGGGGCTAGCTTCCAGGGTGGGCATTCCCCTCAGGGTGAGCTCTTGCCTGGTGGCCCCTGGACTCATGGGTGCCTCCTGGTACCACCTCCAAGGGACATCAGCGCTCGGGTGAGTGTGCCAGAGGGAGCGGGAGCCTCTCCTGCTCTAGCTATGCCCCAGTGCAGCGCGTGTCCAGGGGCAGTTGGTTTCCCTGGCAATCCCCAGGGAGACTCTTGTTGAGGTTTCTAAGACAAACTGTGAGGGTGGTGGCTGCAGGAGAGGCAGAGCTCCTTCTCTATTTAACCCCTGGAAGGCAGGGTGGAGGCCCCGTGCTGCCTGCAGGAAGGAGGGCAGCTCTGGCTGGCTGTCCCAGGCCCAAGGTCTCTGAATGAGGGCCCAGGACTTGGAACACCCACTTGAGTATCGCTCTCTCTGGCTTCTTTGTATCCGGATCTCTTTTCCTGACAATTCTTTAGTGACTGAGCTGGCACTTGAAATTCATCTTTTCCTGCAAACTAACTCCCCCTTGGGTTCCCCATCTCTGTATCAGCATCCAACTGGATGTCCAGCCAAAGATCAGAATCATTCTAGACCTTTCTCCTTCCTTGTACATCCCCTAAAGTTAACCAACTACCAAGTCCTGTGGGCCCAACGTCTGGATAGCTCTTCTCAGATGCAGCCCCCCTGTACCCCATACCCCTCGCCCCATTCTCTCTCTCCTTGATGAGGCAGCCTTCTCAACAGTCTCCTGGCCTCCACTCTCACCTTTGTAGCAACCAGAGAACTCTTTCTAAAATGTATACTCAACCACACCACTCCCCTGCTTAAAACCCTCTCATGTGCTCAGGTGAGTCTTTATGCATTCACGAATCTTCAGTGAGCACCTCTGAGCAGAGCCACCATCCAAATCTCTAACCATGGCATTTGAGGCCCTCCAAGAACCCCCCAGGTCTCCCCATCAACCTCTCTGCCTTTATTGTTCAACACCCATCACCTCGCACTCAAGGATCTGGTAGAACGAATGTTTGACTCCTCAAAGGTGATGGTGCCCTCTCCCCTCGAGTCCTTTGCACATGCTGTTCCCTCTGCTGGCAATGCTGTTTCATGCCTCTCCCTCTGGTCTCAGCTGAGATACCATTCCCTCCAGGAAGCCCTCCCTGAAGCCCCTGACTGAGCTAAATGCCCCTTCTCTGTGTTTGAACAATCCTTCAAGCCTCTCCACATCACTGTATTTATCACACTTAGATGTGACCACCTGTTTCTATGTCCATCTTATAAGATGGTAAACCTTATGAGGCTAAGGACAGTGTGGTGTCCACTATTACATCCCCAGGGCCTGGCATATCATAGGAAAATAGGCCTCTGATTCCTATGCTGGTGTCAGGGAGACCGCAGGAGTACACTTATTAAACTCAGACCTGGAAGCCAAACGCCAGCAGCTGGACCTGACTTTACACATAGACAATGTGACAGAGACCCCAGGACTGCACAGCTGCGGAGGCTTCGGATGGTTACTGCAAAGCTATCTCCCCAGTGCATCTGGGATTCTGGAACAGACACCCTAACCCAACAAAGGTATGTGATTTGATCACTGGCCAAAAGCAACTCAGAGGAGAGGTAAGAGGGCTGCCCAACCTACTTTCCCATTTCTGCTCAACTAAGCAAGGAACTACTTTCTTAGGGGAAAAGTTGTGCTTGGATTAAAAAGAATGAACTGAAGAACAGTCTCTTCTCGGTTCATACCATGAATGCATAAACTGCAGAGAACACAACCCTGGCTAGTGCAGACCTGCCTAGCACTAGCTAGAAATGTTGGGGGACAGGAAGGGAGGTTTCTGCACCATAGAGGTGAACCTCTAGGTCGTTTCCCACTGGTGGAGATGTGTCTTCTAAGTCTGGATCAATGAGGTCTGTAGAAACAGCCTGGGAGGCGGGACACCTGAGTCCCCTGGCCCCAGCATAGCCACCACTGGACACGAGGACCGAGCAAGCCCCCGCCTCCCTGGGCACCGCTATCTCGACTCTATGATGAACTTGAATATACAGTGCCCAAGCATATGACTTACTCTCGTCCTGTCCTGGTGAGGAGGGTTGGGGTGGTGTCTGTCTGTCCATGGGGCAGATCAGCAGCTGCATGGGCCAGGGTGGAGGGTGGGCTGACTCCCGTGCTGGGGTGGAGCTGCTCAGGAATCCGCTTTCTCCCCTCCAACTGCAAGCCAGGGACAGCTAGGGAGACAGGACAAGACCAAAGTGAGTTTCCGTGGAGAAGACCCTCAATGGGAGAATGTGGGTGGGTGAAAGAGACAGTGCCCAGCTGAGGTCACAAATGAAGTTCTTGATGAGGTCAGTGACCCACTAACCTCCAAACCAGAAAATGTGGTTTTTGCTGGAGTTTGGGTGCTAAGCTAGGCCTGCTAAGCTGCTTGTAATTGGAATGCCCCCCACTGTCCACTATTTTAGCATCAGATCCAAGTCTCCAGTACCCTCCCCCTACAAAGAGCTCACTGTTCCTCACGTGGGTCCCCCCGATTCTGTCACGCATCTTTCTATCAGAGCCTCCATCTCTCTCTGAAATTACAGTCACACCTTTGCCCGGGAGCATGTTTTGGGGGAGAATGTTCATCACTTTAGCCTCTCAAAGGGATGGGAGGCCAGAGGTTAAGACCACTAATCTGGCCCATGCATTAAAAACCATGAGCCCTTGGAATACTACTCAACAATAGGTAAAGGAACAAACCACTAATACGTGGGACAATCTGATAAAGCTCCACAGAGTTACCCTGAGTGAAAAAGCCAGTCCCATAGGGACATATATTTTACGATTCCAACATCCTAGAAATTACAAAATTATAGACACGGAGAACAGATTGGTGGTTACCAGGAGCTAAGGAGAGGGTGGAGGCAGGAGGGAAGTGGGCATGTCTCTAAAGTGGCAATGTGAGAGGTCCTGACTGAGGCCATGCCAGTATCTGGCTGCAACACTCACTGTAATTTTGCAGGATGTTAGCACTGGGGGAACTCGGGTGAAGGGCACATGGGGTCTCAGTGTATGATTTCTAACAACTGCCTCTAAATCTATAGTTAATTAATAAAGCTTTAAATTAAAGTTTAATATAAAAAAGTGTAAGCTATGAACCTTAAAAAGAGGCGAAGCTAATGAGAGTTTTCAGAAGTCAGGGCAGTGGCTCCCTTGGGAGGGGTAGGAGCGGCTGGAAGGGGCCTGAGGGGTGCTGAGGCTCGGATCATGTTGAGTTTCCTGGTCTGTGTTCTCTTTGAGAAAACTCATCAATTCGTATTCTTTCCTGTGTGTTTTATTTCAATAAAAAGCTCACATGCATTTTTAAATGTAAAAAAACTAAATTTGGTTCTACACCAAAACATCAGCAGTGACAGTGTTCAGCATAATTTTTTCTTTTGTTCACTTCTGTCTGCCCTACCTGTAATTTCAAATTTTCCGACAATGAACCTGTATGATATTTTGTATCCTAAAGGGTAACGCCAGCTTTTTGTCGGCTTGCTTTAATCCAGGCCGCCTGGCCACCCCAGGCGCACCCACTCACCCATCTCGGCTGCCACCGGCTCCCGGCGGAAGCTGGGTGCCCTCTGGCGGGGAGCGCTGTCTCGGGTGGAGGGGTGCCTCTGGGCTCGACTCCTGGGTGCTCTGGGCTCAGCGGCTCTTCTGGGGACCGGAAGACCCCTGGTCTGGGGCTGGGAGGCTGCATCCCGGGGCACAGAAGCAGTGAAGGGCTGGGCTAATGTCCCTGGGGCACTAGGGGATCACGGAGGAAGAGACACACTGAGGTTACACAGAGAGAGATCACAGCCTCCGGGCCCCTCCGTACCCTAAACCCATGGCCTCCTGACTTTAGGACCCTGACGATGCACCCCCATTATACATGCCTCTCTTAATCACTGCAAACTGTACACCTGCCCACCTGTCTATGCAAAAGCATAAAGCTCAATTTCATTTTTAGAAAATATACAGAGAAACAGGATTTCTAATCCTTTCTTCCCATGCAGCCCTGAGTGCCATGTGGGTCACATGCGGGGCCAGCCCCGGGCTCTGGAGGCCATCACGCTTCACGGTGGCTCCATCACCTGAGTCCCCTCCGCACTCTCTCTTCCCTTTGGGCTCCAGGGTCTCCTCCCCAGGTAGTCACCCTGACTGCCTTTTGCCTTTGTCTTTTGCTCACCACATGCCACCCTCCCAGTTTTTATTCATGCACCGTTCGCTCGGTTACCTGCTCAACAAATATTTATTTCCTAGGCAAGTCACTTTCCTTCTCTAAGCTTCAGTTCCCCTCTATCAAGAAGATGGGGGCAAGGAACCATTGTTGGGGGGATGAATGAAGGCTCCAAGAATGCCCAGACCATCCACCCCTGTTCTGGGCTCACAGGTACCCAATTCCCAGGCTATCCCAGATGACTGGCACTGATGGGACAATGGTGGAGGTCCCCAGGGTACCTGATGTGGGAGAGCCGATGCTCTGGGGTCTGGGTGAGGGGCGACACTCTGCTGGTTTCTGAGCCCACAAAGCCACTGTCTGTCTCGGGGGATGCCATCCAGGACTCCTGAAAGAGGCAGTGTCACTTTAAGTCTGAGGAATGTGCCCCAGGCACACTGGGAAGACCTTCTGAGTCCTGGCCTGGGCCTCACATTCCAGAGGCTGACAGACCGGACTGGGGAGACTGGCCCAGCTCCCAACAGCAGGCCCAGGGTGTGAGGGTCCTCAGGTCCTCAGCACCCAGCACGAGCGCCAGGCCAAGAACAGTGCTCCGCAGCCTGAGAGGACCCTGAGCAAGTCCCCTTTCCCTGAGGAGTGGGAGCCAGGGCCCTGGGGAGGGATACTTAGATTTCCAGAGCCGAGGAATAGAAATGGAAGAGAGCAGTCCCATGCCGGGCAGCAGATGCTCATTTCTGGCCTGGGCTTGTGACGCTATGGTCCCTTCTGCTACAGAGATGCCCAATGAATCGGGAAATGAAATCCATCAAACTGCCTGCACACCAGGCCTCACATGCAAGGCACAGAGAACACAAACAGAGTGACCCAGGTGCCTGCCCTCAGTGAGTTCATGGTCTAGGGCAGAGTCCTTACCATGGGCTCATTAGGACTACAGATGTGTGTGTGTGTGTGTGTGTACATGCACATAGATGTGCTATTCTCTGGGAATAAGTCATGTTCCATAGCATAAGTCTCATTTCCATAGTGATCTGTGATCCCTATAACAGTTTAAAAATCACTGCTCTAAAGGCACAAACAAGGCCTGGAGTCAAGAGCAGCCCCCGGCTGTGCTAAGTGGGCTCAGAGGGTACAAGCGCTCAGAGGTTCTGAGCCCATGCCCCCGTGGACACCTACCTCCAGCTGGGGACCACCAGCTTGGAGTAGAGACTTCTGCTGAAGGCGCTCAGAGATGCCGCTTCCCTCTAGGCTGGTCAGACTGCTCTGGTGGGATGCTGCAGACTTGGTGTCCCGAGAGTGGGGTGGCCTACTAGGGCCCGGAGGACCTGCCTCGGCCTTGCCCAGGCCCAGCAGGTGCCCATCTCTGGTCATGGATGTGTGGAAGCCTGCTGGTTTCATGGACACCCTCTGCTCCACGGCCTCCCTAGCAGAGAAGGTGAGAGTGTCAAGCCCTGGCATGAGCCAGACAGCCCTATCCTGGGAGGCGAGCAGTCCAGGGCACCAGCTCTGATCAGATGCTCCTGGATGCCCACACTGGTTCTGCCATCTTCTAGTTGTGTGACCTTGGGCAAAGCACTTCCCTCTCTGAACCTCACTTTTCTCAACTGTAAAATGCGATGCAAATAAAATGCATCCAAAACACCACAGGGGAAATAGTGTGGAAACAAATGTTAGAGCATCGTTGCCTGGGCTTCAGGGATTTGCATCCCAAATTCCTGATTTCAGCCATTTCCACAAACTTCAGTCTACTCAGAAAGACTTTATGAAGACCATTATTTTGTGTTGCAAATAGAAACTAACTTTGAAAATAAACACAAAAACAATATTATCATATTCTAGATAGATCCTGTGGCCTGCTGAAGACTCTGTGCCTGAGGCCTGTGCACACTTTCTCTCTCTCTCTCAGAAGACCAAGAAAGACATAGCAGCACTGAGACTCTCTCCTTGGTGCACTTAGATGGGCTGAGACTGACAAGGAGAATACTGTTTAATGCTGCGTCTCGCCTCCTGAAACTCACAGCTCACACAACCCACAGTCACTTCCAGTGCTATCAATGCCACGTTCCACATTCTGCAGAGATGCTGAGCCACAGGTCAGGAAGCCATTTCTATGCAGAGAAGAGCAGTCTAGCTCACTAAGACAATTACCACCCTCATCGTTTCAGAGTAGGTATGGGACAAGGGGGGCAGGCTCACGGACATACTCGGGGGGCGTCCCGTGACTCCTCTCAGCCCGCACCGGGAGCTTCCTGGAGGGAAGCCTGGAGGTCTGTGCTCTCCCCGGAGCTGGAGCTGACCCATCAGTGTCCAGGGTTCTGCCCTGCTCCGCCTCCTCCCCCTCCTCCTCCGCCCTCATGGCTTCTGGGAGGGACTTCACACTGAGGTACCTGCAGAAGGACACACAGAGAGGGGGCATGACCTTTGTCCAGCAGGGACAGCCAAGATCCAGCCACTGGGCCCGACACCCGGCTCGCTCCTGGTGAGCGCTCACCTCTCCAGGAGCCCATGGAAGTCTTGCTCCACCTGCAGCTCCTTGTGCCTGAGTGGGGCCCGGAGGCCCAGCGGCCTGTCATCCGCCTCACTGCCAGAAGGGCTCACCTCCGCATTCATGTGCAACGCGCAGGGGTCACTGCTGGTAGCGTCGGGCTGGGGGCCAGAAAGGAGGAGAGTAAAGACTCAGCGGATACTGAAACATTACTTCTTAAGGACCTAACTAATGCTGGGCACTGAAGAGTAAAATATAGGTTAGACTCACCAGCTCCATTACCCTTCTTATGTGCCTTCAATGTATAGGGACTGAATCAGATGATCCTCAATACTAACTACCATTAATTGAGCACCTACTACATGCCAGACACTATACAGACAACACTTCACAACAATCGCAACAGTACATACGGTTATTACGACCAATTTTACAGACATGTAACTGAGGCACAAACGATTTGCCCAAAGTCACACAGAAGTAAGGGGCAGAGCTGAGATTTCAATCCAGATTTCCTGCCAGAAGCATCTCTCCTGACCCCCCTCCATTCCAGTATGGACATCCAGCCCGTGAAAACACCTCCACTGTGGGAACATGGAAGCCCCTCACGCACTCGGGTTTTTAGCAGTAAGTACATGAGATAGAGCCTGGTATAGTTTTCCCACCCTCTGGGGCAGAGCACAGTGTGAGAAAATTTCCCTTAAATCACTGGGTCCCAGGATATCAGTTGTCATGGATATTCTACCTGTCCCCAGCTCCCCACCAGCCCACACCCCACCCAACATGCAGCCTGTTCTCCTGCTCTAATCCCCAACACACAGGTTCTTGCAGCACAGGTGGCCAGGAGCATAAGCTACAAGGCACAGACACTCCACCTCCATCAACTGTACGACCTTTGCAAAACACAGATCGTGATCATCTCTCAGGGGCCGTGATGACTAGAGGAAATTCGACAAACCCCCTTTCATGTATGGCCCTTGTCCAGGGTCTCCCATCTTGGTGAACAGTCCCCAAATCCATCCAGTACCAAAAGTTGGAAGCCTGGAGGTCATCCTTGGCTCCCTCCCCACTTACTACCATTCCAAGTCCAGTCAAATATGCCTTCTAAGCCTTTCAAGTTCATGTTCATCTTTCCATCTGTTCTGCCATCTCCCTATCTCTGACTGGCCTACCTGCAAATCCTCTTATGTCGTGTCCTGTTGAAAAACCTAGCAGTTTAAGACCAAATGCATGATGTGAGCCACCAGCTCCTACATTGTGGAGCCCCTGCCTGCCCCTCCAGCCACCTCTTGCAGACAACTGCCCTTTCACTTTCCATACTCTAGCCACAGGCCCTTTGCACAGGCTGTTTCCCTGCTGGATAGCTTTTCTTCTGCATCTGGTAATTCCCACTCACTCTCAGCTCTCACTTAAACATTACTTCCTCAAGGCAAGTTTATCTGGCCCCCCAACTCATTTATGTTACCCTGTTATCTACTCTCATAGAACCCCATAATTCTCCTTCAGGGCACTGATCAAAATTATAATTAAAGCCTGGCCGGGCATAGCTCAGTGGTTGAGCGTCGGCCTAGGATCCAGGTGATCGGGGTTCGATTCCCGGTCAGGGCACATGCCCGGGTTGCGGGCTGCAGCCGATCAATGACTCTCTCATCATTGATGTTTTTCTCTCTCTCTCCCTCTCCTTTCCTCTCTCTGAAATCAATAAAGATATCTTTTTTTTTTTAAAAAAATTTAAAAAAAAATTAAATAACTAATTAGTTCAACTAGATAGAAAACTCCATGGGGAAGAAGCCACCTATTTGTTTGTTCCCACTGAATTCCTACCACATGTCATGGGTCCTGGCATATGGGGCACACTTCATAAATATGCAGTAAAGAAGTCAATGAATGAGAAGATGAGTGAAGGAACAGACCAACGTGATGGGGCAAAGCGATACCTCAAGGCAGAGGGTCTGGATGGCTGGCATGTGGACTTGTCGTGAGGGAGAGGGCAGGCACGTTGGCCGGTGGCAAGAGGGCGTGGCCAGGGGACTGTCCAGAGGTGAGTCTGACTCGGCTCGCTCAGGCTTTTGCTGGTTCTGTTCCACATGGTCCTTCAGTTCTTCCAGGTGAACCCCCAGCTGGAATATCTCCGCCTCTAGCTCCCTGGAATGGGGAAACACCAGCACTGGGGACTGGGGATGGCAGCCACATCGGGTGCGTCTGGTAGGCCGTGCTTCAGAGCAGACCCCAGAGGATGCCCATGGAGGGTCTAGTACACTGGGAATCAGGAGGCCTGAGCCTGAGTCCCCATCTGCCACCAATAGGCTATGGGACCTTGAGAAAATCCCTTCCCCCTCCGGCCTCAGTTTCCCCATTCTCCAAGGAGGGGTTTCAGTTCTGATCTCCAAAGTCACTTGTCACTGCAGTGAGCCCAGAGGACACACATCTCAGCCTTCAATATTCACCCACTGGTATATGTGGCTAATCTGGATAGGACTTCTCCCTGTTCCCCTAAGTGTATCAATGATGATGATGAAGTGTGCCTCTCCTGGTGACCGAGGGAAGGGGCCTGCCCCATTTCTCCTCCCAGGCCTCCCTCCCCGGCAGTACCTGCCCGGATCAAATTTCCCAGGTGTCCCCTTGGAGCCGGCAAGCTGCTGAGCCAGGTGCTGCTCCCTGCAGGCCTTCAGGTATTCTTCCTCCAGGGCCGAGTGGGCAGCCTTTAGCCGCTGGAAGACCTGAAACCACACCAGGCGAGCAAGACCTGAGTGCCCAGTCCCTGTGAACTCCGACCCTGCAGACATAGTGGGCAAGACAGCCCATGGAAGGGCCATGGGGCTCAACCTGGCTCTGCAGAGGCCTCTGGGCCCCTCAGTCCCTGGGAGGCTGGGGCTGGGACCTCTGGAGCCTGCCTGCCCTGGTCAAGCTATCTGCCACCAGACTGGCACAGGAGAGGCATGGCGCAGAGCCTCGGCCCCAGCTCCCCAGGGCATCAGTTCTTCCTGGGTAGAACTACACAAACCCCAATGTTCCATGACAGTTGTGGTGTCAAATATGCTATCGGTGTCCCCGTAAGGACCTAGTACTTGAGAGACCATGGTCTTCATTCTTGATTTGTAACACTATGGGTTTTGAAACTTTAGTTACTCTTTCCTAGATCTTATAGATCATAATAATGAATGATATTATCACCATCATAATACTAACAATGATAAATAGCATCACTGAGCATTAAGGGTCTGTGCTCAAGCACTTCACTTTATTCATCTAACCTTGAACACAACCCTAATGAGAGGGGTGTACTGTCATCTTCATTTAAAGTGGAGGAAACAGGCACAGAGAGACTATTTAAGCTGGTGATGGTCACACAGTCAGTGAGCAAGTTATAGAGCAGGATTTGAACCCAGTTCCTCTGGCTCCAGAGCTCATGGGCCTAATGATTATGCTCGGATCACACAGTAAATGTGATAATAGCTAACACATGGCTAAAACCATGGGCGGTGGGATCACTATCCCTGGCTTAAGTTCACCCCATCCCGCTCGCTCTATGCTGACGACAGACCGAGGCCAAGGACAACCTAGAGTCCAGCCCCCAGAGGCCCCGGTCAAGCTTGATCTTCCAATAGCTCCCAACCCCCCTGTATATGAAGGAATTAGGATAGAGGGGAAGAAAAGGAATGGTTTTTATTTTCAAGGCCCTTGATCATCCACTGGATGAGGTAATATAATACATATCACATGTTTGTAATTGAAAAATGCATGTGACATCTATACTATAGCAGAGGGAAATACTCGCGACGTAAGTAATATTTCCTACACACCAGGTGTGTTGCATCTGTCCCTCTGGGTCCTCTCTCTCCCCACCCTGTTCTGTGCCTCGAGTGTCAACTGGGCTCCCTACATGCTGGCTTCCTGTGGGGTATGTCCAGTGGGAGGCACCTGTGAGAGGTCACCGGGCAAGAGGAGAGAGACCTGGCAGGGAGTGGCCCCGGACACATACTAGTTGCTGGGCCCCCAATGCTGCCACACCCCTACTAAATGCCCCTTCACTGACCCCTACACTCCCAGCTTGGAAAGCTCCATCTGCTCCTCTGGGACCCTGGCTGATACAGCACAAACCTAAATTTTATATATGATGATAGTTACCTAGAAATACCGAAGTCCAAAAGGAAGTAAGCAATAATGGTTAGATCGGGGGGTCTTTCCCATTCCCCCCCCTCCTAGTTTTCAATGTTTTGGCAATTACTATAATAATAAAGAAAATAAAAAAGAAAAGGCCTCCTCTGGTTGCTGAGAGCAGGATAATTGGTGGGAAGCCATGCAGGGCAGTGATTGTGACGCTGGGCTTGGGAATCAGACAGACCAGGCTCCGCTGCCTATTAGCTGTGTGACCTTCAAGTCACCTCTCTGATTCAGCTCTGTCCCAGTTAAACGGGGGTGATCACTGACTGCCATGCTGGGTTATGATGGTAGAATGAAATAATGTACTTAAAAAGCTTGCCACGGTGCCTGGCACACCGCCATCATTGCTCAGCACGTGGTAACTATTGCGATACAATGATCATTATCACGGGAAGCTAAGCGAGGCTGTTTCTTCTCAAAGGAGACACTGTAGACACTGTATCTGGGATCCTCTGGCCCGTCTGGCAGCCAGTGAGGCTTCAGAGACTCTGCGATGGGGCACAGAGCGGTTTTCTGGCAGCTCTAGGGGCATCCCCTGAAATGGGCGGTACCTTGAGTTGCTCCTGGGGTGTCAGCCGTCCTGCCTGCATCAGGCCCACGAAGGACTCCACCTGCACATTGGGAGGGGAAGGAAACGCGCTCTGTTACCCAGGCCCTGAAGGCGAGCCCTGAGCCTCCCGCACCCGGCCACATTCGCCCCTTGGCACGAAGAGCTGGGCCCTGCCTCAGGGTGTGAGTTTCTGCCAAGCATGCAGAGGCGTGTGCCAGAAACTGACTTCATCGCCCACCTCGGCCATGGCAGCCTTGGGAACATTAAAGGGGAGCCTCTGGGAATTTATCGGCAGCAAAGCATTCTCACTCGTGTGCATGAAGACCTGTGAGGCAGGATATTTACTGCAGCATGATCGGGGGG